TTCTGAGAAAACACCTCAGTTATCAGGGATGAAGCACCTTCCCTTCCAAGAACACAGCAATGGCTTTGAGCACTGGAGCCCTTTTACAATGACATCGCCAAGGGAAAACATAAACACCAAGTTACATGCACAGAGAGGACAGTCACAGCCATCTGTATCCTACCAATACATCAAAGGGAGCACAAAGAAGATGAGATGGTAGTCAGATGGGACATAAATCTTCTCCTGATTAGCTTATGTTATTAAGCCAAATAATAGGAATTTCAAAAATCTGTGTGGCTTTTATAGTTTTTTATTCACATTTCATTTTATTTTTTAAGTGACCCAAAACATTTTCATTATGCCCAAGAAGCTCTGATAAGCCTTTCTGTATTTGAAAGGCAGAAAAATCGTTATCCAGCCTGGTGTCAGAACGACAGATTTAGGTCTGGACAGACACCGGGCGTTCTCTGTTAGGATCCTCCAGGAGGGCCTGGGGTTCCCCTTCCCTTTTTCTTTTATTAATTCAATGTGTATTTAACTCAATACGTTTTCACTCAATGCATTTCATTGTTTTTGCATATAAATAAGATTGAGGGGTTAGAATTATTTACTATAAATTATTGTTGAAGTTTACTCCAGGCTTATTAAATTGAATGAATTATTAGCCAAACACAGGTACCCAAAGCATCACCTGACTTTTCATTACTACAGGGATCTTTGAGACGTTGACAGGGAACCCCAACACGATACCTGCTCACATCCACACCCTCAACGTTTTCCCTCAGCCAGTGTCAGGAATTTAAAGTAAGCCCCAGATAAGGGGGACCCCCTAAGTAACTAGAGAGCTGAGCAAGAAAAGGCTGCGGCACCATGAGGGTGAGTGGAGCAGAAAGATGGTAGACTAGGAAGGCAGGGTGCTGGCTGGGTGCGGGGTGGCCTGGAGGGGCCAATCCCGAGGAGACTGAGGGCTGGCTGTGTGAAAACCCGATGTCTTCTCAAATCTCCTTACATTTGTTTCTCCCACCCCTCTGAAAAGGAAGCTTTTCACATTTTGACTTCCAGCGCAGACTGCTTTAGAGCTGTGGGCTTTCCTTGTGTCCACAGCCGGAACCAACCTAACCATGAACCACCAAACTCTCACAAAGGGCCAACCAGAATATGTTTACTAAGGGCTCCCTTTCTATTTCCTTTCCTTCCCAAGCTTTTCTTTTCTTTTTTTCTTTCCTTTCCTTTTCTTTTCTTTTCTTTTCTTTCTTTCTTTTCTTCCTTCCTTCCTTTCTTTCTTTCTTTCTTTCTTTCTTTCTTTCTTTCTTTCTTTCTTTCTGTCTATTCTTTCTTTCTTTTGCAGACAGGGTCTCACTCTATAGCCAAGGCTGGCCTCAAACTCAGCAGTCCCAGCCTCCTGAGTGCTGGGATCACACCCCTGTGTTACCATGCCGGGCCTCTCCCCAGGTATTCTCATCTTTGTATTTAGTTTTGATCACCAGACAGAAGTTACGTAGAGATACACAGTATCTAGCCAGGATCAGTGTTGCCTCTCGTTGGCTGAGCACTCAGGAAGCTGAGACAGAAGGATCATCTGACCCCAGGAGTTCAAGGCCAGCCAGGGCAACATAGAGACGCCTTGTCTCAAAAAACATAATAAAACAAAACAAAACACACACACACACACACACACACACACACACACACACTGTCCTACTTTACCTAAAACTTCTAGCTGCTCTGGTAAAACCAGCTTGATTTCTAGGGCTATGCTGCTGGGAGGAACATCAGACAGTAATTTCCAGCAGTGTCCTGCCTGTCCCATACCTAGTCACACTCTCTGAGGCCTATCTCCATCTTTCCTTCAAAGCCTTCTTCCCAGTAAAGCTTTCCTTGTCTGCACCCAGCGTTCTCCCCAGGCCAGAGAGAAGGATTTACCAACCATGCAAGGGAAATGTATCCAGTGCTTTCTCTTGACAAGAATCTAGGTAAGAGGGCAAAGCTGTGAAGATGGGGCAGTCTTTTCTGTCAAATGTACTCCATGAACTGCACAGTCTCCCTACACTGATACCCAGCAGGTCGGGAAACCCATTGGTGAATTATTCCACTGAGCTATCTCTCTGGCCCCCAACCCATTGATGAATTAATCAACTGTGAGCTACTGATCCTTGCTGTAAATTGACTCCTTTTTCCAATTTTGTTTTCAGTGTGAATTCTGCTTTCTTTTGCTTTGTCTTGGGTCTGGTTTTTTTTTTTTTTTATTTTATTTATTTATTTATTAGAGAGAGAGAGAGAGAGAGAGAGAGAGAGAGAGAGAGAGGTGTGTGTGTGTGTGTGGCCAGCTCAGCCCACCAGGGGGCGGGGCTGGCTGGCATGTGGTGCTGGGGAATCGAACCGCGGTCCCTGATGCTTTGCTAAGCTTGTTCTAAGTAGGTGCTTTAGACCACTGAGCCATCTCTCCAGCCCTTGGGTCTGGTTTTGAAACAGGGTCTTTTTTGTAGCCCATGCTGGCTTCAAATTCATAATCCTTCTGCCTCAGTCTCCCAAGTGCTGGGGTTACAGGAGTGCCAGTACATCTGGCTCTATTGTGGTGAATTTTCATAACATCAGATTTACCATCCTAGTCATTGTTAAGTGGATAGTTCAGTGGTACCAAGTATATCCACACTGCTGTGCTGTATCACACTCTATCTTCATGACAGTCTTCATCTTGCAAAACTGAAATTCTGGGGCCAGCAAGATATCTCAGAGGACTAAGCACCTGCTGAGGCAAGTGCAGGGACCAGGGTTCTATCCCCCATACCACATGGCGTGCTGGCTCCACCCCCAGGCACACTGAGCCAGCACTGAAACCGAGCATGGAGGCTCACACCTGTAATCCCAGCACTGGGGAGGCTAAAAACTGGAGGATTACTGTGAGTCTGAGCTGCGTAATGAGACCCTTTACCAAACACATAAAAGGGGAGGGGGAATGAAATTCTGTACTCATTAAACAATCACTCCCACTGTCCTCCCCACTTACCCTTTAGCACCACGATTCCAAGTGGTTTTCACCAACATACTTGACTGCAGCCATGTACCTTGATAAACAGTGCACTTCATTTGTCTTTCCAGTGATCAATCCAGTTTTATTATAGGACTGAACTAGTGAGCCAAGAGCCTTTGCCTCTGACACAGCTGAAGGGACTCGGTCATTCTGTGCATCCCCAAGCCCATCTCAACATCTCAGCATGTAACCACACACAAAAGCTAAAAAGGATGATCATGCTTTTACTCTCATTTATACAAAAGGACACAAATGTAATATCACACCAACTGTAAGTATTGCGTGTCCCACACATTTGCATTCAGATAGCAAGTTTTATTAACCAATCCAATGCAATGTAATCCAACCCAATCCACTGCTATGTAAAAATGGATAGTATGCCATGCCCTAATAAATAGGGCTTGTCCTTTTGGAATTTTTTTTTCTTTTGGTTCCAGGACTGGAACTCAGAATCGCACAGTAGCCAGGTAGGCATTGTACCATGGTGCTGTGCCCCTGGCTCAATTAGAGCTTTATCCTGAGAATGAAAAACTGGTTCAGTATTTTAAAATCAGTCATGTAGTGTATTATATTAACAACCTAAAGAAGAAAAGCTGTGTAATCATATTATTGATACAGAAAAGTATTCTTTAAAAATCAAATCCAAGCCAGGTATAGTGACATATGTCTCTAATCCAAGCACTTGGGAGGCTGACACAGGAGGGTTGTTATGAGTTCAAAGCCAGCCTAGGCTACAAAGTGAGAGGTGAGCCTGAATTGTGTAGGTGACCTGTCAGGTGACCCTGTCTCAGAAAAGACAAAAAGGAAAAACAAAATAAAATAATGGCCTACTGTAGTGGGGTCCCAACCCTTTCAGCACCAGGGATAAGTTCTCCACGGGACAGAGTGTTGCAGGGCAGGTTCAGGATGACTTGAAGGAGTGTGCAGTCTAACCCTCCCACACCCGAATCTCAGTTGTGTCTGCACTCCTTATGAGAAACTAACGCTGCCCTAATCTGACAGGAAGTGGAGCTCAGGAAGTGACGTCAGCAATGCCAGGGAGCAGCTGTGAACACAAAGCCGTCTCTTTTGCCCACCCCTCACCTCTGCCGGGAGCCCAGCTCCTCTCAGGCCAGGCCCAAGCTTGGGGAGCCCCGCTCTCATGCACAGAGCGATGTGAGCCCTACTCATGAACCCCGTGCCACTGCGAAGACATCAGACGCTGGCGGGTGCAGCAGCGGCTCCAGCATACCCAAAAGAGACACAGCGGGAGATGTGCGGTGAAAAGACAGTCTCCAACCCTGGCAGTGTCCACTGTCACCTGAAAGGAGATTCTGGACAAATGACTAAATCGTTGTCAGTCAGACTGGCTTCAAATCTAGGCGCTGTCACTTTCCAATGTAGAGACTTTGGACCGCTTCTGACTCTTGACTTCTAACAGTGAGCAAAATCTTCTCCACCTTACTGGATTAGTGTGGAGTTAATGATGTCATTCAGTCAGTCAGTCAGTCATAGATGACAGGGAGAGTACCTATGTGGGCCAGGCCCTAGCCTGTCACTAAAGTCCCTTCCACACCAGCACATTAATAAATACCCATGAAGTGGTAGCTGATATTATTATACATCTCCTTATGAAAGGAAAATGAAGACAGCTAACTATGGTAAAACTATATCATATTTCATGACTGCTTATTGCTTAGCTTGGGGTCAAATATATTCTTAAAAGGTGACACACAGGCTGGATGCTACAGGGAGTGGACACTGTCCACACACTGGCCAAGAGGAGAGAATAGAAAAGAAAAATGGTCCTGTCTGCTTCTCCAGAATTTCTGCCCTCTGCATGGTCACCGCCAACTGCAATGGTCACTTCCATTCTGTGTCCAACACAGCAGCTGAGGTGCCAGCTACTGTGACAGGTCTGTAGCTGCTTCAGAGGCAGGAAGAAAGCAGAGATGGGGCCTAGAGGGCATCACCAGGCACCACCACCATCACCAACCCCACAGCACACCTGGTCACACTGGTCCAGCTCCTGCAGGTGCAGGTCCTGGATGAGGTAGTCCACGATGCGCACGCTGTTGCTCTGGGCCGCAAAGTGCAGCACGTTCAGCCCATCCTGAAGAGGTCATGAGGAGAAGGAGAGGGAGGAGGCCTCACCCTGCGGCCCACTCCCTTCCCGCTGGGGGAAAGCAACAGTCCAGACACGGCACAGTACCTACCCGGCTCGTGGCTCTCTGGTCCACTCCAGCTTTAACGAGCATGAGCATGATCTCAAAGCTCCCTGTCCAGGCTGCGAGGTGCATTGCTGTCAGACCGTGCTTCCCCAAAAGACAGAAGAGAGAATCTGTCACACGGATGACCGCAGAATCCTAGCTCAGTCAGACAGACATACTGAATACCAAGCTGTTGAAATTAAGAAATAGACCATTTAAAAATAGTAACCAAGGACACATGTGGTACCATGGCACAGACCCATAATCTCAGCACTCTGGGAGGCTGAGGCAGGACGACTGAAAGTTGAAGCATTAGCTTGGGCAGAATAATAATAAAAAAAAAGGGGCTCAAGGTAAAATTCAATGCAAGGGCCCTGGGTTCAATCCCCAGCATTACAGACAGATGGATGATAGGTGATAGATAGATAGATAGATAGATAGATAGATAGATAGATAGACAGTGATCTCTCAATTCTATAGATACATTTAATAAGTGGTTCATCATCTGAAGAAAATAAAATGAAATTATATATATATATATCACACAAATATATTAGGACAAAATCTAGACCTGATATACACTCTCTTAATTCAGAAGTGTAAGAAGAAAGAAACACGAGGTTAATAAATTAATTCTTTAAATATAATTAATAAATATGAGTGGTAACCAACAAAAAAGGTAATTGAACCAACAGACAGGGTGGGCATGGTGCCCATTCCTATAATCCTAACCCTTAGGAAGCTGCAACAGAAGGACTGCGGAAAGTTCGAGGCCAGCCTGCTTTACACAGTGAGCACAAGGCCAGCTTGAACTGCATAGTGAGGCTCTGTCTTACTTTTCTCATGAGTGAGACAAAATGCCCAACAGACACAATTAAAAGGGGAACAGGCTCTTTAGCTCACTGTTTGTAAGGCTTCAGTCCCTCATCAGCTGGTTCCAAGGCAGGGTGGCATTGCAGAGGACACTTTGTGGCAGATAAATGGTAGCAAAGCAAGCAAGAGGGCAAAATAAGTCCCTTTCTGTCCTTTATATTGTATCCAGGCTACTGGGATTAGGGCAGTACCAAAGCGATCAGAGGACTAGTTCAGTTATCACCCACCCCTAATCCCGCATCCTTAACCCTAGCCTAAGGAATAGGCAATCAGAGAAGATAGAGACCATTATTTCTAAAACGATTTGTCAAATCCCATTTAAATGTAAATACAATCAGCAATTGCACTCCTAGAGATTCGTCCCATCAAAACTTAGCACTACATAGACAAGGATATTAATTATGCCACTGAAAAATGAGAGCAAGGTGTTTGCCCATCAGTATGGGAATTCTGAGTGAAAGATGAAATAGTTGTACCACATAACCATTAAAAACAGGGAATTAAAAACACTGGGCTTGGAAAGATTTCTATGAACTTTGCTAAATCTGGAAAAGGAGATGGAGAGAAAATATAATATATCACATTTTTATAAAAAAACCCGTGTATATACATGTACATATCTATATCTATAAGTGGATTAGTAGGCCAACATATTGTCATAGATATTATTACATGAACAGAAAGACAGAAATGTACAGTTCTCAGGGTGTTAAGTATAAGAAGGGACACAGAAAAGGAGAAGAAATAAGTTATAGAGAAAAAATTCCCACTTGTATAGAAGCTACCCAAAAGATTTCATTCATGTGAAGTTTCATAGATATGTGTGAATGTTTGTGTATACATGTGTATAAAGTGCAATGGATGGATTAAAAGAGAGGCTGGGATCAGGATTTAGGGGCCTGAGGGCTGCCTTGGATGGTCGGACACTGAATTATATACTGAATTTTCAAGGAGAAAAGTATGGAAGGACACAGCCAGCAGCTGATACTGGCTACTTCTGGAAGCTGGGGTTGGAGGAAGTAAATTAGACCTGTGCCTTCTCTCCAGGTTAGAGATGCTCTGGAAAACACCTATGAGCAGGGCCTGAGGATCAAAGAGAACTGGTCTCAAACTCTGGTCCCTTCCTTTAGCAAACTGATGTGAGTCAGCTTAGCTAACACTCAGCTTGGCTTTCCTTACCCTTTGGTGCCTGTGTCTCCTTCTCTTGCCTTTTTCTCTGTCACATGTAAGCCATTTCCACCGCCTGCTAGAGCAAGCCCTCTCACACCCGACTGTCTCCCAGTGGGCTGTGTTTGTGATGGAAGAAACTACATGTACACAGTTGGGGTAAAAAAAAAAAAAAAACAAGGACTGGAACCATGGGGAACACTTCTATTTATGGATTATAGAAATGCTTTGGCTTTATTTTGGCTGCCCCAGGACCAGCGTTCCTGTAGTGCCTTATTCTCAGTAGGGTTCAGGGTGGAGAGTGGAACAGCAAGTCCTGGATTACTGAGATGGAATTCTACATTCGTGGTTCTCAGCTGGAGCCAGTGTTGTTTCCACAGGATGTTTGGAAATGTCTCAGAAATGTTTACTGGCATGCCTGGCAGGGGAAACTGGCACTCAATGGGTAGAGGAAAGAGACAGGGCTAAGTATACCACAATGCATAAGGAGTCCTACAACGCAGAATGGGCTGGCCCCAAATGTCAATGTGGCCACTGTTAAGGCGCCCTCTCTAAATATACACACCTTATCAAATTTACACTTCTGCTGTCACTCTATAGTGTGAATTAGTCAATTTTCGTGCTTACAAATCCAAGTATGAAGGAAACTTTCGACTATCTCTGTACTGCTTTTTAACAAGGAACCATGCACAATGACGAGTTAAGATTCTTCAAAACATGTGCTTGACCAAAATTTCACCTCCTAATTCAGACATCCCTACAAATCATGCTTCATATTCTATAGTAGTAAATCTGGATTCGATATAAGATTGCCCACAAAAGTATTAGGACAGATGATAAGTCACGTTTTGATGGGGCTTTATCTTTCCCTAGAAGGTCATTCTTAATTTCAAAGTAGCCAGCATGTAAAACTTTCCAGGCAAAACTATAAAAATCCAAATGCTGGGAACTGAAGCAGCCAACAGTTGGAATTTCTGAAACCACAAATTCCCCTTGAGTCAGGGCCATTCAGTGGCAATGAGTCACTGCCCTCAGATGTGAACTCCCCCAGACAACTTTTCAGGCATAGTCTCTGGCCATGGAACCGGCACGCCCAAGGCTGTTCATGGGCAGGTGACAGGGTCACACTCACAGCTGGGTCCTTGCTCTGTAAGGTGTAAAATGTCAGGCAGTCACTGGAGAGCTCTCCCCAGCAGCATCCCAGTCACAGGTGCAGGCAGTGACTTGCCACCTTGCTGGAACCTGGAGGTCCTCCATGACTGGGCGAGACACCTGGCACGGAACTTGTCTGTTACAGAGCTCACTGCCCAGATAGACTCAAAGCTGGAAGTGTACCCCATAGCATTATAAGTCGTATCTCTGGAGGTCTTTTGAAATGAGGCCCTGATTCAGAAGGTGAAGGTGGAATCTGAGACTGCAGCCAACACGTGCCTGGGTGACTCCTGCCCTTCTGGTCCCAGACCCCCACTTTGACCAGACAGGACTTCTACTGGTCCAGTCCCAGTAACCTCACTGGAGCCACAGCAGACACTGGAAGTACACGGATTGTGAAGGGGTTCAATGGTTATTTCACTGTAAATGCGTGCTAGAACAGAAAAAACAAAAAAAGTCAGGAAACTTCCTGCAGGATCATTTAGACTCTAAATTCTGCTTTCCTTCCCCAGCCGCCTGCTGCCATTTACTTTTCAGCACCTTTAGATAGCTGGATTTTATCCAAGCGTGTATGTTAATTGCACTTCATGGGAGAGATGGAGTGGGGTTTACTTCCTTTAGAGTCTGAATGATCCTGCAGGAAGTTTCCTGGCTTTTTGGTTTTTATTCCATTGGTGCTTCTTACAACTGGACTCAAGGCAGCACCCCATCATGGAACTGGACTCCAACAGAAAGTGTTCCAACACAAGCCCTGTCTCTCCAGTCTAGGGATCCAAAGAGGGCTCCTGAAGAGCAGAGAGGGCTTCCTTTCCTTCCTTCTGGCCCTGCCAGCTTTGGAGCACTGGGGAGTGTGGGGTAGAGGTTGGGGAGAGGCAGGACCCTGGGAAAGACAGCCAGTGGAGTTGCTGTGTGTCCGGGCTTAACCCTGCCTGGCACAGGGATGGACTCTCACTGGCCCACAAAGGCTGGGAGAGCAGAACCATTGTGAAGCCCCCAGCTCAGGTCTCGCTGGTGCCTAGGGTAGTGCTAAACAGGACTGCAAAGGCTTTAAAAGACTGAAGTGAAAAAGCTTGGCCATTCCTATGCAAAATAAGTGAATGAATCTCCACGTGTTTCTACTCAGAATTAAAATTAATTCAAAATGAACTGTTGTCTTCACCTGCTTTGTGCTACTATAGCAAAATACCAGAGACTGAGCAATTTGTAATGGACATAAATGTATTTCTATATGCTGGGAAATCCAAGATTGAGGGGCCCATCTGCTGAGTCTTTTTCTTGCATCCGAATATGATGGAAGGCATCACACATATGACAGTTTGTGTCTAAGTGTCTCCCTAAAACCTCCTGCAGTCATGGGGAGTGGGGAGCTGGGTTTTCTGAGGTGGCAGAGTTTGTGAGTGATTCATGTTCCAGTGCTGGGATCAAGTGTGTGAATGCCCTACAGCCACCTGCATACAATCTTGCTGTCTTTCCCCATCATGAACTGCTCCCCTTTGCCATGTGCCACCCTGCGTTGGAACCAATCAATTATGAATTGAAACCTTCACTAACTGTGAGCTAAATAAACCTTTCCTCCTTTAACTTTGGTTTTTCAGCAACAACATAACTAAAGGAGGGAAGGTCCCTATCTCTAATTCTGCTCAGGAGACCCCTCCTCCCCCCCAGATGACAGATAATCCATTCACAAGGGTGGAGCCTTCAGGCCTAAATAACTCCAAAAGGTCCATCTCTTGACCCTGCTGCACTGGGATCCATTTCCAATATATACATTTTAAGGACACATTCAAACCATAAGAACCATAGATCCAGTTTTAAAACAGGACCACAAATCCTGCAGGAGAAAATGTGAGAAAACTTCATGACCTTTAGTTAAGCAAGTCATTCTTTTTTTTTTTTTTCCAGATAATGCAGAGCATTTATTCAAATTTCTAGGGGGCAAGAAAGGGTCAGGTACTCATGTGTTATGCATGCTCAGGCTCTGTTTATAAATACTCCATTCAGTAATATCTTAACACAAATTTAGGCAAATCATTCTTATGTATCACCTCTATATCAAGATTTATGTTTTTTTTAAATGAGTGCATTTCACTATATCAAAATTAAAAATATTTACAGTGTGAAAACACTGAAAAGATAAGCCCCAGATGCGAGAAAATCATGAAAATCATGTTCCTAAGGAAGGCCTGGTATGCAAAATATATAAAGAACTTACAATGAGCAAATGAACAACTTGGGTTTTAGAAATCTCCGCAGCACTGGCTGGGCGTGCACTCAGTGCAGAGTGCCCACCTGGCTTGTCCAAAGGGCCTGGCTTTCATGCCCACCATCAGGAGGAAGATCTGCACAGACTTCACCAAAGAAGATGTGAAAATGGTAACTGACACGTTTCACTAGCTAATGAAAAATGCAAATTAAAATCTCAAAGCGATGCATACACACTTGTTAGATTGGCTAAAGTTAAGGGGCAAAAGTGACAAGGAGGACACAGAACAAGGGGGCCTCTCTTGTATTATTACAGAATGGAAATGTCATGTGTCACATCCTCTCCAAAAATCAGCCTGGCAGTCCCCAATGAGGTTCCATTTACATACATTGTCTGACCCAGGAATCTCACTCTTTGGTATTTACTTGCCCTGGCTAAATAGAAACTTAAGCCTAGAAACTACTTACAAATAGTCAAAAACTAGAAACAGCCCTAATGTCCTTCAAATGATGAAAGGATAAAATGGTACTACATCCATACATTGAAATACTACTTGGTAATAAAAAGGAAGGAATTCTTTATACATGCAGCACTATGGGTGAATGCTAGAGGGTTTTGCTGTGTGAAAGATGCCAGTCTCAAATTACAAGCCATTTTCAAGAAGCAGAAAGTAGAGAGATCAGTGGCTGCCTAGGGTGTGGCAGGTTTAACTGCAAAGAGAAGCATGAGACATTTTTGGGTAGTGAGCTCTTCTGCTTTTTTTTTTTTTTAATTTCTTTGGTATCAAAGATTGAATCCAGGGCTTCATGCATGCTAGGCATGCGCTCTACTGCTGAGTTACACCCTCATGCGCCTTGTTGTCTTTTTATTGTGGTAGTGGTTACTTAAATCTATATGCTTGTTACAACTCATAGAACTGTACATCAAAAATGAAAGAGGTCATGGCTCAAAATCTTAATCTAAAAATTAAAGCTAAATAAAGAGATAATATATTGGGCTTTCAGTGACAAAGTAAGAATATACTTAGCCAGCCTGGTATCTTATCAGTGTATCTTTTCAGGCTGATATGTAAAATAATCAAATTAAAATTTCCAGAGAGGACAGTTCCCTTAATTGCCATAGTCATTAATACAACTAATTATATTCACAGAGTTATAGTGCTTCCAGTGGTAATCTTTAATTCTGGTTTGTTACATGACAATCTACTTTCAGGGCCGGCCAGATAGCTCAGTAGATTAAAGCACCTGCTTAGACAGACACAGGGACCTGGGTTCAATCCCCAGAGTGCTATACCAGCCCCACCCTCAGGGCATGCTGAGACAGCGACTGAGACTGGGGGTGGTGGTGTGTGCCTGTAATCCCAGCGCTTGGAAGTCTGAAAACAGAAGGATCACTACGAGTCCGATCTGTGGAGTGTGACCCTGTAGACCCTGTAATAAATACATTTTTTAAAAATCTACTTGCAAACCAATATCAGAGCTATAAACTATAGAGGGATGAAGAGCTTGTCTTGAGCAAAACCAATGAGGTATCTAACTAATATAACCTGACTTTATCTTCTGAAGCCCAGAACCTGTGAGATATGAAGGTAAACATGTAGCTCCTTATTCTTCAAGGAATCCCAGTCCCAGGAGAAAACAACAGCTCTGTGACGATGGTCTAAAGAATTTAAATGTAAGAAACATGGTCCCTGGAATCAACTGAGAACCAACAATTTGAGAGGAAGGCTGTCATCTCCTCCTGCTATAACTAGAGATGATAAACACCATCTTGGTTTTCCTTGCTGGTCTCTTTGTGCCATGACAAAGCGTTAAATGACAATGGGAAAAGTAGGTGGAAAATCTTCAGGCTCTGTCTTCATATCTCAGGAAAAGAAATAACTAAACTGATCTGTAGTACATAGCACGGTTTCTGGAATCCAGCAAGTTAGCTTTAAATCTTTTCTCCACCTCTTCTTCGCCCCAAGTTTTCGGGGCAAAATATTTAATCTCTCTGTGTCTCAGTCTCCTCGTCTGTAATTTGAATATTCTAATAAAATTTTTCCTCCTCAGGCATTTGGCAGGAGTTGCTAAATATCAAAGTAATATGTATGGTACATAGAACTATTTGCTAAGATCTATTTAGTGTCAGAGTCCACAGAACAAACTCAAGATTTAAAGTCCCTGGGGTCAGTCAGTCAGCTTCTGTCTTCCATGCACTAGACCATGCTCTGGACAACCGTGTTATTCAACCGTGTTATTCCTATAAAGTCACGGTAGTGGCGGTAAAGCCGACATTGGAGAATAAGTGGAAGCCTAAGACCTAGAATGGATAAACAACGTAGCACCAGATACAAAGAGCACACAATATGTGTGTGCCCTTCCAAAATACACACTGCTGGTGGAAGTATTTTGTGTGCATATAGAGCAAAGCCGTCTGGAGCGGTCCAATGTCCCTGCACATTGCTTCTGCTCCAACCCTTTCCGTCAGCTGCAAGTGAGCTTACCTTATCAGCAATATCCACCCTGGCCTTGTGAGTCAGTAAGAAATTCACCGCAGAAAAATGATTTCCCCCCACTGCAAAATGCAGGGCTGTACGGTTCATCTGAGGAAAATAATGTGGGTCCTTAGTCATTTGGTCATGATTTCGCCTTTTTAGCACTCCTGCTTCTTGAACAGCCATAATTGTCTGCTAATGTGATTATTTAGCTCAGTTCTTTGCCTTGCCCTTTGAAAGCTGTGAGAGCCGTGTCCAGCAGAATCCTGTCTTCTACAACCACTGGACACATCTGAGGATTTGGCAATCTGCAGAAGGATGTGCCTCAGCTGAAAGTCTTTCATAAGCTGCCAGATATAGACCCAGAAACCCCGCAGATGCACGCAGACCCCCTCTCCCATACACTAATGCACACAACGCTAAGCGCCCTTCTGATGCAGACAGTGTGGGCTTTAAACTCTGAAGGTTCATTTCTACAACCTTACTGCCTGGGATAGATACAGGTGTGGCGGAGCCTGAGTTCAGTCTATTTAAGGAGCCCTCTATAAGCCAGAATCAGAAGATAACTCACTGCAGTTAATGTCTTACATTTTTAGCTTTTCTAAAAAGCACATGACCATGGGAACTTTTGCTAAGGCCTACCCTGCGTCTCAGAAGGAGTTTGCATATATACAGACCCTGAAGCTTACACTCCATTTAGCACTGCATCCACTTCTGTATCACTCCACAACTCATCTTAAGCTACTGTCCCATGCTCCAATCTCTTCACCTAGATAAACTCTGGCTTGCAGGGCTACCAGGAACTCACAAAAGCAAACAGCAGTGTATTTCCTCCCAAAAAGCCCAGGCATTTGAAGAACAAGTAAGGACAAGCCAAGTCTCAGGAAAAGTCTCATTGCCAAATGTGTGGTTATTCTATATTCCAAAGCAGTAAAATCAAAATTCACACACTCCTTTGGATTTTAAATTTGGAATAACCCAACCACAAAGGATCTCACTAGAGTGAAAACAACTCTGATTGTATAGCAAAGATGTTCTGCCTTTCTAGAGTGTCTGAAGCCGAACTCACCCCAGGCCATGATCTAGGACCGAGTCCAGGCCTGTAACCCCGACAACAGCTCTGCTGCTCTCCCAGACCCCCGAAGGATGAGCCTAAAGACTTCGCACATCTCTTCTCACAAAATGAGTTAAAACACCCAGCCTTTCTGCAGCTCAGTTCCACCTCAGCTTAAGAAACACGCTCAAGCAGCCAACAAAGGAGAGCTCCCACATCCCAACCAGCTCAGTCTTTCCTATCTTTATCGCCATTACAGTGGCCCCATGCAAACTCAAGCCACCACTGGGAGCGGTCAGTTGTCATATTTGTTGCTTCTACTCACATTGTTCACAGCATTAATGTTAACCTTCTTTTCCAACAGCTTCTCCATAAGATCCAGATTATTGCTTTTAGCAGCATCCTGAAAGCTTCTCTCGTTTGGCAGTACTGAAAGAAAGCAAGCAGGCATGACTAAGGGACTTGAAGGAGGCCAAGAAGCAAGTGCAGTTCATGGGGCAAACTTAGTAACTCCAAAAACACAGAAGGATAGACTTGGGTCTTCTGTATTCTGCTATTTAGGACCCAGGCTTCAATATTTTATACAGGTGTGGTTTCAAGATCCCACGCTCTCTTCACACTGGAAGTATTTTCACACCCCTAAAAACATCCCTCAAGCAAAACATCATTCCAGAGGACCACCCTGTAGACTGCAAAGCAGTGTGTGGCTCAGGTCAGGGAGTGGCCACAGGCTTCCCACCAGGCATTGATGTAAAGAAAACAAAGGAAAATTATTTTAAAAAGAAAGGTAAGAGGGCTGGGAAGATAGCTCAATAGATATTAAGTGCTTCCCTGGCAAGTGCAAGGGCCTGAGTTCAATCCCTAGTTCCGCTACAGAGAGAGAGAGAGAGAGAGAGAGAGAGAGAGAGAGAGAGAGAGAGAGAGAGAAAGGAGTGGAGGGGAGGAAAACAAGTTTTTCAAGATTAGCCAGA